CCCCTCTCCTCTCCCCTCTCCCCTGCTCTCCGCGGGGGGTTGGGGTGGCGCAGGCTTCAGAGCCTCCGCACCAGCGTGGAGGCCCTGGTCGCCGGGGAACCCCAGCGGAGGGGAACCCTAGGGGAGGGGAACCCGTGGAGGGGAACCCTAGCGGAGGGGAACCCGTGGAGGGGAACCCTAGCGGAGGGGCTGGAGCGCAGGCCCGGAGGGTTGCGGCCTTAGAGGGTTGCGGCCTTAGACCGCAGGCGTCCCCGCCCTGGTCCCTGATTGGCCCGCCTTGTAGAGGAAGGCTTCAGATCCTTGCAGCTTGATTGGTCCAAAAGGCACTGTCCTGATTGGTCAGGACAGAGTTGCTCTGATTGGTCGGTGAAGAAGCTGATAGCCGTGGGCTCCCTCGGGCGGGGAAGGCTCAGTCTCGATGGCCCTAGCGCCCCGGACCTTCCTGGGGGCTCGCGGAGGGCCGTCAGCCAGGCGCCCCAGGTGCGTGTGCAGCGAGGCCTTTTAAAAATTGATTATTTTAATTTAAGCCCAGTTAAGCCACCAGGAGCCCTTCTTTGTAGGCATCTTTCTCAGGGGTCACAGTTACTTTCTGGGTTTTGTTTGCTTTTTCAGGCATGAAATGGTATATCTGCTTTGGAGAAATGTCTATTCATGTTTTTTGCCCATTTTTAAATTGGTTTGCTTCTTTTTTGTTGTCGAGTTGTAGTTTTTTTAGTATATTCTGGATATTAATCCCTTATCAGGTACATGCTTTGCAAATATTTTATTTTGTGGGTTGTCTTTCTGTTGTCTTTAATGAACAAGTTTTTAAATTTCGCTGAATGTCTTGTTATCTATTTTCTTTTCATTGCTTGTGTTTTTAGTGTCATATCTAGAATCCATTTCCAAATCTGAGATCATGAAGATTTACCCCCTGTGTTTACTTCTAAGAGTTTTCTAGTTTTAGTTCTTATATTCAGGTCATTGATCCATTTTTGAATTAACTTTTGTATGTGATGTGAGTTAAGGGTCCAATTCCATATTTTTGCATTTGAATATTCAGTTTCCCAGCACCGTCTTTGACAACACGGTTCTTTTTGTTCCATGATAGGTGCATAAAATAGTGTTACATTCCTGCCTCTGTTATCCACTGATGAACTTCAGAGGTTGACTCGGCCCAGGTCCAGAAATCTGCAGTCTGCTGTTCAGGATTGGGACTGATGTGCAGTACACTGTCCCCAGCAAACTAGGTCCATTCTCTGCTTCTCGATTTGTGGAGTCAGTGAGAACAGATAATTACTGTTTATAGTTCGGTTCATTGAGAAATAGGTTTTTGGAGTTCTGCTTTCTCAGCTTCTTGTGATACAGTTTATACCTTGGTCAGATGAAGTAGCAGTTATGGGTGTCAAGCCCACAAAAAAGAATTCAGAACTGGTGTCACTGCCCTGTTTTGGCCTAGAGGTCTCTTAAGCTTAAAAATGGCTTTGTTCCTAACAGTTGTGAGTCTCGATTCTTTGTGGTATATAGAAAGTAGTGTTTCCATTGTCCATTTTTGCTTTGGCACTCCAGACAGTTGTTTCCTTTCCCGAGACCTGCTTTGTAATTTCCTTTGATAACATACAAAGTCATGGGAATTTCTTTGTATTGCAATGTCATAGAAGAATGACTGAGAAGTAAATAATTAAAGTAGATTTTAAAAATCCTTAAAAATATCTTCAAAGTAAATTCTTATAAATAAATATTCTTGAAAATGACATTTAGTAGAAGCCACATGTAAGGCATAACATATATTTCTGTGTCTAGCTTCAGCTACTACCCAGCAGAAAACTTGATAGAGTACAAGTGGCCGCCGGATGAGACTGGAGAGTACTACATGCTTCAGGAACAAGTCAGTGAATATTTGGGTGTCACCTCCTTTAAACGGAAGTACCCAGGTATTAAGTCTTAGTTTACGCAACAGATTAAATCTAATTTTAACTAATAGTAATTTTTGTTAGGTTGTCAACTTATGAATATTTGCGTATGGATTATTTATATGTTATATTCTTCTGCTGGCTGGTTTTCATTTACTTCAATCGCTCAATCTCTATATATATCAGTTTGTTCTTTTGCCTTATAAATTGCTTTAAAAGCAAAATGAGGAAGATAAATTTCCTGGGAAAACATTTAGAAGAAACCATTTTATAGCAATAGGAATCAAGGGTTTTGATTCTTTCCCCCTGCTCCCCAGCCTGAGGCCTGGAGGTGGCTGCATCGCTGTATCTGAATTCCAGAAAGGCCACATTTGAGCTGCCGTTAGTTATGTTACCTTCTTGCTTGGAATTGTTCTGTTTGCAATTTCATTTTAACGTTTATTTCTTGAACTTTTAAGACTTTTTGTGTGTATTCTCTTTAATAATACTTGGAACATGTAACATGAAATATTTTTTAAAACTGTTGAAGATTTTGACTTTAATAATTTTAAAAAGTTTTTTTAGCTTTTTAAAGTTTTACAAATGCATACTGTTACAAATGCAAACAACTATTTTTAATAGTCTTTTGTTTTGTTTTTTTTGGAGATTTAGAGCGACGAGATTTGTCTCATAAGGAGAAACTCTACCTGAGAGAGCTAAATGTCATTACAGAAACTCAGTGCACTCTAGGTAATGGAAGCTTTTGATGTGAATTTTTAAAGCTGAATATTTATGAGGTGATATTGGATGAGTATTTATCTTTTTTCCTAAAATGTTTTACAAAATTAATAGAATACATTGAATTATTTTAAGGCTAAATTATTTACTTTACTTTTGATTACTGTTAAAATAGGAGAATGGTATATTTTACAACCATTTTCCAGTAATATACACAGAAGTGTCAGAGTGTGTGTGTTTTGTGTGCAAAATTTGTATAGTACTTTTTAAAAGCATTGATTCTTATCTCTTAAGAGGCAGATGTTCAGTTTTTATTTCTGAATAGTTACCTCCATGCTTTACTTGCAGTTCTCTGTTCACAAACATTGTAATACAGTCTGGCTGCTCTTTAATGTAAAACTGTGGAATTTATCTCAGCCGGTGTTAGACGGGTCCTGTGAGTGTTGCAAATCCCGTGTGGCTTGTGTTTGTGAGCTGATGCTTTTGGTGAAATTTAGTTTATCAGATTTGAAGACTAAGAACTGTAATATACTGAAAATTCTTAGTGTTTTTCATCGGATATTTTGTGTTATTGCCACTAGTTAGTGTACGTGATCACTTAGCAGTTTTTCCTAGTAAAGGGATATATGTCTGTAGTACATAAAACCTTATAAAAAAACATTTGGTTGAGAAATTGATTTCTTTGCCTTTGCAACTTGGGTAATTTATTTCTTTTTAATTGTTTAATTTATATCATGAGTTTCTTTTTATTATTTTAAAATGTATTAAAGTGTTTTGCCTGGTTGACGGAAAGCCTTGTAACTTCAGAGCAGTCCAAAGGAGAAGCCTGTTTTAAAAAGTGGTTTTGTTCACTCAGCCTTAATGGGTTTCTTTACTTGTTTTTGGTCTAAAATAGGTTTAACTGCTTTGCGCAGTGATGAAGTGATCGACTTAATGATTAAAGAATATCCAGCCAAACATGCTGAGTACTCAGTTATCCTGCAAGAGAAAGAACGCCAGCGGATCACAGACCACTACAAGGAGTATTCCGTGAGTGTCGGGGTGCTGGCATCACTTACCCGGTTTGGGGGAACCGCGTTTTGTAAAGTTACCTGTGACTTCCAGCTGTAATGTTTCTGTTTCAGCAAATGCAGCAACAGAATACGCAGAAAGTTGAAGCCAGCAAAGTGCCCGAGTACATTAAGAAAGCTGCCAAGAAGGCCGCCGAGTTCAACAGCAACCTGAACCGGGAGCGCATGGAGGAGAGAAGGGCATACTTTGACTTGCAGACACACGTAGGAACGCTGCCTCTGTCCGTTCCGCGCCCGCTTTCTGCTTGTTACTGCTGAGTGCTCAGGGCCTCCTTCATTACTGTACTCTCTGTGCCAGCAACAGGTCCTCTTCTTCCCATAACTTAGGATGTTGTTAAGGATGGCCTGACCAGACTCCATTTATGTATACAGGCGCGTGTATGTGTGTGCATTGCGTGTGCTGCGTACACGCGTATGTGCTCACAGTGTGTCTTGCTTTGTGGTGTAGTTCTCCTGAATGAGACTGATGCCTCCTGTGTGCTCTGAGGGCCGTAAGGGATTTCCACATTCGCTGAATTCTCAGTTGTGTGCGGTTGAGAGCAGTAGTACTTCCGTTTCACAGACAAGGAAGTTGAGCTGCCGAATTCTGGTAGTTGCCCAGGCCATGTGGCTGTTACACGTGAGCACACGGACCTTCCTCAGGAATGAGGGCGTGGGAGAGAACTGGAGAGCAAGAAGCACCTCTGTTGCCCTGGGCGGCAGCTCCTGTGTCCCTTCTGGTGTTAGCTTTTTTTTTGGGGGGGGGGCGGTCGCTGAGACTCTTTCCTAAAGTCCTGACTCCTGGCATGGGTTCACACAGGTTATTCAGGTGCCTCAGGGGAAGTACAAAGTGTTACCGACAGAGCGGACCAAGGTCAGTTCCTACCCGGTGGCCCTTATCCCCGGACAGTTCCAGGAGTATTACAAAAGGTAGGAGGTAGTTTTATTTACTGTTACTATTGGCTGTTTTATTTTTGGGGGTTGAGGGTAAAGGAGAGAGTCATTTTTTGTAATTAAGAATCAAATGCGTATTTTACACTCTTAGTCTGGTGAATGAATGTTTAGGCTTTTTATTTATCACTTGTCCCTCCTTGATCATCAAAAGGAAGGTTATTTATTGCCTCTGATCATTTTTCACAAGTATTTGGGGTTAGTTGAGAAGATTAAGTCTATCTCCGCAGCTCAGAGACGAGCCGCTCATGTTTAATAATGAGGGAAACCTGAGCATCATTCTGACCTCCAGGTACTCACCGGATGAACTGCGCTACTTGCCACTAAACACGGCTCTTTACGAGCCCCCTCTGGATCCTGAGCTCCCTGCGCTTGACAGCGACGGAGACTCAGACGATGCCGAGGACGGGCAGGGGGACGAGAAGAGGAGGCAGAAGGGCACCTCGGTGAGAACCTTGGTCTTCAGTAGACATGTCTCCTCGCCCTCTGAACTTTTGATGATTGCTTTCCTGGAACGCTAAGTTCAACTTGTGCCGCCACCCTCTTTCTGTAAAAGGACAGTTGCACCTACTTTCCAGGAAGGTTTCATCAAGAAAAGTTGTTTGTTGTGTGCGTTGATGTAGACGCACTGGTGGCCTCGGTAAGTTTTGTAGTTAAAGTTGCCCCTCTGTAGTTGTCACAGCAGCTCAGGAAAGGTGCCGGACATTAACTACAGCCTGGCGTCGGGCCGTCGTGATCGGGAACACCTCCACAGTGTCCTGCTGCTGAAGTGATGATTTTGTTTCCTTCAGAGAGATGCTAGGTTATTGATCGTGTGTTGTGCTACTAGGTTTTCCTGGATGAGGGTTTTTTGCAGCAAAATGCAGTGCCCGGTCAGTGGGGGGTGGTGTGCGCTGTGGCTGAGGGGAGCAGGGTTCTGATGTTACTCAGCTCCTCCTAGTCGGTGACGGGCCTCTTCACGTTTCCCTGCAGCCAGGCTGTACCCCACAGTGCGCTGCTGTTACATGTGCGGTGCATTCCTCAGTCACCAATAGCTCTGAATCATAGTTAACAACACGTGTTTTATAGAGTAGATGCTACTCAGTTATTAAAGTGCTTCCCCCTTCTCCTGTCCTGTCGCCTGGCGAGGGCGGGACCAAGTTGACTTTCGCCTGCACTGCTAGTGGGGTGTAAAGTAATCGAGCATTTTGGAAGGAGAGCATTCTGACAGTTTTTACCGTGATTTAAAACTCCCTCAGCGTGCAGTAGGGAGTGTGAGTCACTCCGGGGGGTCTGTTTGTGTGCAGTGGAGAGTGAGTGACTCCGGGGGGTCTGTGTGCAGTGGGCAATGTGAGTGACTCGGGGTCTGGGCTTGTGCGGTGGGGAGTGATTCGGGGGTCTGGGCGTGTGCAGTGGGGAGTGTGAGTGACTCGGGGGGTCTGCATGTGTGCAGACGTCACCAGAAGAGGAGAGTGGAAGTGGGCTCCTGTTCCTGGGGTTGTCTCAGTGTTTGTTGGTGGTTATGGGTAATCTGGTTTTTTAATTTACAATTTTTATAATTTATATGTACATAACATTTTTATTTTAATTAGAAAATATTAAGTTAAAAAGTGAATTAAGTGATCAAACATTGAACTCCTAAACTTGGAATATCTAAAATGTCAGATACCCAGAGACCCTGGCCCTGCATCATCTGACATGAAAGCAGGAGTATGCGCGGGACGAGTGTGTTCACTGGCTTGTATTACTCACCAAAATGCCCGCACTTAACTAGACATCTGTTTTCTAAGTGGTATTTTTGTATAAAACAAGCATGCTCCCTGCATGCGCCTGTGGCCCGGCGCAGTGGTGTTGCAGCCCTGTGGTGGGTACCAGGCACGTAGATGATCTGTTCCTGCAGGTTGAGTCAGAGGACGGAACACGGTGATGTTCTCATGAGGCAGGCACATGATCTCTACCCTGGCTTATCTTGGTCTGTACTAGAAAAAGGTTCCTTACATTTGGAATTATCTTTTTATTTTTAAGTTGATGGAACTTTAAAGATTTTTTTGAATATTTTCTGTAGTTTTCACAATTCAGACTCAAACCACTGTGAATTCCAAGGACTGTTTGTGCCTTTGACCCACAGGACACCTCCTCCGGCAATGTGTCTGAGGGCGAGGGCCTTCCCGAGGGCCAGGAGGAGCCTTTCCAGGGGCGACAGAGACCCAAGGACAAGGCTGCCACGCCCAGAAAGGATGCTTCCAAGCGCTCTGTACTGTCGAAGTCAGTTCCTGGGTACAAGGTAGAAGAAAAAAGCCCCTGACTCAGCTTCCTTGACCAGCCTCTCTCCCTGAAATGTGTTGCCTTTGAATTTCACAGCTGTGGAGCTCCCGCCTGCCATGCGCCCCACTCACTGGTCCGCTGGCCTGTGCCTCTGCCAGCTTCCTCTGTCGCTCTGTCTCCCGGTGGCTTTCTGTCACTTTGGCTGTGGTTTAGCTTCTGTTTTCTGTATGTGTACAACTGATAAGAGAACCTTTTTTTTTCTTCTTTTAAATAATAAGCAGGCAAGTATGGGCTTTTTAGAAATTACTTTATAGGCAGAACTTGACACTTTGTTTCCTTGGAGTAAGGTCATGATTATCTGACGTCTCACACATCCTGGTATTTGGTAGAACTGGACACGCCGAGCTCACATCTGGCTGCCCGGTTTGTAGGCCAGGCTGTGTTCCTGCTGTGCCTTCGTTAAGGACATTCTGGGTTAGTCTGGGGAGTGTCTGATCCACCTGCAACTTTAGCTCTGATGGAAGCTTGTGAGGCCTCCGGGGTACAGTGTGGTGGTGTTTAGTCTGTAACTATTTCATGGGTAACCTGGCTCAGAGATACTTGTGAGTTTTGACCTGGCTACTCGCAGAGTAAGGTGGTGCACTGTTGGCATTATTACTTTATTATTTCCTCCTGAGGTCTGCCCCTCTCCATAGAGCATTAGCGATTCGCACAGGGGGACTTAGGAATGCCACAAGGGTGCGATTAGCTGCACAGGTTTATGTCTTGGGTAGTAATAGTAAAATAGACAGTGGTTTGGGTCAGGAATGTTATCAGAATATGCTTTTTTTGTGGTTGTGAAGGTGATTTGAAGGGATGTTTAAGAGTGAGGTGGTATGAGGAAGTTTGGCTGAGTAGAGTTGTTAGCTCCTGTCGTGTGTCAGCTGGGATGGTGGGCAAAAAGTGGGTCCCAGGGAGCCGCAGCCACAGCCCTGCAGCCCGCCAGGCCCTTCCGACAGTGCGTGTCCCTTTCCTGCCCTGAAGTGAGAGGCAACTTAAATTATCGCATTCCACACGCAACGGGAAAATGCCGTTACATAATCCGCTTAAAGACTCTTCTTCCATCCGAGGGCAGTTCAGCTTCATCAGCAGGGTTGGCTTCCTAGGGTGTTGACAGGCTGCGGCTACATGAGTTTTATACTTGTTTTCACATATATAGCTTATCTAATTTTTTAAACTAAAGATTAAGTTAATGCTTAATCATTAAAAGCAGATGAACTCCAAAGATTAAATTTTGGAAGGCAGCCTGGCGTGCGCCACACTGTGGGCTGCCGGTCTGACCGTGGCGTGGCCACGAGAGCGCACAGGCTGTGGGTGGAGACCTCTCAGTGAGACAGCTGGGTAATCATGGGCGAGGGCCGTGGAGGTGGAGGCTTATGGAAGCGGGGTTGGAGGACGCCAGCGCTGTCACTGACTGACTGTGGGAGAAGTCAGGGACTGGTGGTGCTCGAGGTCTCCTCACTGAAACTGTGTCAGCATCTCAGCCTGGGATGGCCCGGATTTAGACTCGACATTAATGTGAACATGTTTATTAAAGGTTAACCTCTGTGAAAGTATTAATAAGCCACGATGTGCCTAAATATTAGGATACTTCAAGCCGAAGGTGATAGATATAAATAGGTTTTGAAATACGGGAGTTAAGAAATGTATTTGATTTCTTGCCTCATAAGATTCCCTCGTGCTGGCCCTGAGCGTGTAGGACAGTATTGTTTAGGTTACATTAACCTGAAGTTAAAGCATAAGTCAGGATCCAGGCCTACGTTACAAGTATATGAGTAAAGCCTATGCTCTATTAGTGCTGCCAGAAAGTCTCACTTATCTTTGGTTACTTTTTAAGTGGAAAAATAGGTGTATTATGAGCCTTTTAGTTGAGATGCTAAGAACTATTGGGATGAGTATTTTAATTTTCTTGTCAGTAGTGAAGCTGTGATGTTGCTTATTAAAGTAGAACCGACTGTCTCCCATCAGACGTGCCTAGGGTTCTCTTCACTAATTGTCAGGGGGCGTCTGCCACTGTCCCCCCCACAGTCCACAGTCCCTGAGACCGGCTTCCCAGCCAGCGACTGCTGTCTGCCATGCCCTGTCCTGGCGTAGAGCAGACACACTGTGGCTTCTTGCTGTGTGCAGAGGGCTTGAGTGAACAAAGCATTCTTTATCCTGAGCCCTGGGGGCACGTCAGAAACCTGGAAAGTGCTGTGCTCTCCACTTCTCCCCCGCCTTCCTGTTTCCATCAAGTGAGGACTGTTGGTAAGGACAGTTTTAAGTGGTTTAACAAACATGGTTTTAAGTTTAGAAGTTAAACCTAGAACTTTCTTGGTGTCCCTTTTGTCACAGGTGTTTCATGTATATTTTAATGATTGTGGAACTTGATCTAGAATGTGAATGACCAGCCTTGTGTTTTAGTCCTTTTGACTTTTGTAAAGGGTCTCCTGTGAGGCGTTCTCTTTAGAACTTAATGTCGTGTGGTTACGTCCTTGGCTTTAGTGGAGGGTGTTAGAGCACCTAGTATGCCAGTATCTACCTTAAACTACAAGTATTAAATAAGCATCTTTACATTTAGTACAGGCGCGTAGCCAAAAGGTAGCTCTTACTGTGGTGGGTGAGGGGTAGCTTTCTGCTGTGCATTATGGCAGTGACAGATCTGGTCATAGCTGAACTAGAACTTGGATCCTAGAAGTGCACTTCCTAGTATTTTTATTGAGGTAGAATGTAGCAGTGACAACAGAGGGTGATGACACTCAAGACTGAAAGGTTTGAGCATGTGACACAATCCTTTTGTTGGGGGAGCAGGGTATGAAGATACACACAAAGGAGATGTAGACTAGGTAATGGTAAAGTTTTATATGTATGTTTTACTTCCATGATATTTATTATTTTGTAGAGATATTTGTGATTGTTTAGAGTTACTGTTTTTATTATATTTATGTATAAGGTTGACTTTTTAAAATAAATAAGCCAAAAATTATTTTTGAATGCCTCTGTCATCTTTTTGCAAAGAAAGACAATTTCAAAAGTAAAAATGACTAAATAATTATGAACATATTGGTTAGGCGAACAGGTTTTGAAGGTAGCAGTGAGATATGTCAAGCTGGAATACTAAATACAGTCGGAGTTTTGTTCAGGCTTCTCTTGGTTCAGTGACTTAGGGAAAGGAAATGTAAGACGCATCTGGCTAGGTTGGACTAAAACAGAAATTTAATAATTCTGTTTAAAATAAGTTTTCTCCCCGTATACACCTCTGTGCCCTGGCCCCCATTTCACACTTGGCGGCGTTTCCTCTTCACCCCTCCCCGTTGCTCCCTGAGTCAGAGCGTGAGCGAGCATCGGTTCCTTACGGCCGGGCCGGGCTGTGACGTTCAGTGTCCTCCCTCCCTGGTAATTCCAGGTGCGGTGAACCTGTCCTGCTTTGTTCTTTCCCATGTGTTGCCAAGTTTTTTTCAAGCCCAAATACTTCCATTGGATTGAGCATGTTTTAAATATGAACAATGAATGGTACTCAAAATATAAGGGTGTCTGTATTTTTTAAAGTGAAAATTTTTTTGTCTGAAAACTTTTATATCTCATACTGAATACTTTCCCCCTAAATGTGGGCTCTTTTACTAATTTATTAGATAAACAAAGGAAATAATCTCACTGGTTTTCCACAAACATTTATGCACATGACAATGTCTGCATGGACCATCTTTCAGTTAAAAATGGTAAAACCCTGGTTTTGTAACTTTGATTTTACATATTTAGTTTTATAACTTTGGAAAATGTTAGTGTTTAAACAAAATTGTGTATGAGCTGCTTAAATTGGAGTCTTCTCCTTAATGAGCCTGACTTGGTAATAACGGTCGTCAGGAGCTTGGGTTTTCTCTTGCGACCGTTAGTGCACTTGGACACTGTTCAGTCCTCCCTTTGTTTGTTATGCTGTCTTACTGGGCATGCAGGGCATGGAGGGTGCCCCGGAGTCCCAGCTGGAGATCCTGTTGACAGGGTTTAAAGTGAAGTCCGAGGCTCAGCAGGCCATTGTGTCAGAAGCAGAGTCAGGTTACGTCTTTCAAAAAGGCCCTCACTAGCGAGTCACCGAAAGTAAAGATGAGGCAGAACAGTAACAGCACTCCTTAACCCGCAGCAAGTTCTGGCATGAATTTATAGCCCTCTTCTACCCTTCCAGCCAAAGGTCATTCCAAATGCTCTATGTGGGATTTGTCTGAAGGGTAAGGAGTCCAACAAGAAAGGGAAGGCTGAGTCACTTATACACTGCTCCCAGTGTGATAACAGTGGTAAGTACCCGCACGTCTTCTTGACGTTTTAACCACCTTTTGTTTAGTTGTCAGCTAGACTTGCACCAAAGATTTATCCAGTATTATAGGATAACTTGTACGGCATAGATTAAGTCCATGTGTTTTCTTAAGCTCTGTATTTTCATTTGTCTTTGGCGATCTTAAACACCATAGCCATTCCTGAGAAATCACAAAGCAACTAGCATATTATTATTAAGCTAAAAATTCCTGTGAATTGGTGAATCCTACTAATACTGGTTTTGGTTTAGGCCATCCTTCTTGCCTGGACATGACCATGGAGCTTGTTTCTATGATTAAGACCTACCCATGGCAGTGCATGGAATGTAAAACTTGCATTATATGTGGACAGCCCCACCACGAAGAGGAAATGATGTTCTGTGACATGTGTGACAGAGGGTACCATACTTTCTGTGTGGGCCTTGGTGCTATTCCATCAGGTAAAGACCACAAACAGGAGGCCCATGACCTTCCGTGGGACTCGCCCAGCATTGTCTCTAAAGGCTGCAGAAACACCAGTGACAGGAAGGGCCTGTGCAGTGATCACCCAGGTCAGGGCCACCGGCTCTTCTTGCGTAGACCTCCCAATCAACCGAGGGGACACATGCATGTCAGGGAGTCCAGTCTAAGTCTGGAAGTAGAACTCAGTGTATAGAATGAGCCACTGTTTTTCTACTAAAATAGTTAGAGCCACAGCATCACTTTATTTCAAAGCCTTGATTTTATTTTCATGTCATCGACACAGAAACTTAACAAAATGAATGCTATGCCTGTGGACATACTAAACCAGATTTTACATAGATTTCTATCAACTGAGGCAAGCGTAACAATTCTAAGTAACTTTAGAATGAACGCAAAATTGAATAAATCACAGTAACTGGACTGAAACATTACACACGATTGTGTAATTTCAGAACTTACTTGCATAGTTAACACTGTATATAACGCTTTATAAAATAATGCCTAGAACTACGTTTCCTGGGAATCACTAAGAAGCGAGCAACTTAAATAACTGAAGTTCTGCAATAATTCAGATCAAGTACATAGTGCAGGTCATCTTCAAGACACAGCTGCCAGTGAGCAGCACAGAAAAGGGCTGAAAGTAGGCAAAACTCAGTGACAGGTTTACAGTAGGATTTGTAGTATTGAACTTTGAGTACTGCTGTGTTTGGGTTTCAGAAAGGATTATCATTTTTTAAAGGTTCTTGTCATTACATAGCATTGCTCTGCCCATGCCCCGCCCCCACTTGAATTTCACATGGCATCCATTACACCGACTATCTTAGACGTTTACGATTTTCTCCTTAAATTAAGGAACTCAGTAGTGCCCTTCCTACCACAAATCCGCAGAGGGACATCATTAGTGAGAGCTGAGGAAGGAGAGCTAAATGGGTTTAAAATTCAGTCCTAAAAAAATTAAATTTCATTCTATATTAACTAACAATTTTTCTCCTAGGTCGCTGGATTTGTGACTGTTGTCAGCGAGCCCCCCCAACACCCAGGAAAGTGGGCAGAAGGGGGAAAAACAGCAAAGAGGGATAAAATAGTTTTTTACCCCAATATTGTAATATGCATTTAAGTGAACTATTTGGTGCCAATCTATTTACACTTCTCATTTTTATGCCAATAAAAGACTTTTTTGAAATTAACTATGTGCTTAGAATCTGCAAGTTGATTCATTTCTGTTATAAGCTCCTCTTATCCTTGGATCCAACTTCAGGTAGAGAAATAGTTCATCTTCCAAAAGGTTTTTACCTTAGTCCCTTGGCTCTCTCCAGAAATTCAGGGAAAGTATTAGGCAATTTTATTAGAAATAATTATCCCTCCATTAGCCTGAGAGTTACTATTATTTTCATGAAGTTTTCGTCATCCTTAGTTTCTGGCCTACCACGGGTACTGTAATGACGTAGTGATGGAAGAATCTTAGCAGGTAGCCAGAGATGGTAAAATTCCAGGACTGGTGATAGGGAGCAGCTGGGTTTAGAACTGTCATCCCTGGCCAGGAACACCTGCTGGGCAGGCCGTTCCCTCCTTCCCTGCTGGGGTGGGGCTCGGGCTCTAGTCCTGTTTGGCAAGTATGAAGGCAGGGTTACCTTTCAGACTTGCTTACACACTGACTGCGTTTAGAATCTGACCAGTAAAATTACAACGTTGTCAATCTTTTCATCGGATCTGTGCACCTGCATGGAAAGCTGCTCCGTTTTGATTTATTTTACATAAACCTAAGTCACTGCCATCTTTCTTTTTAGTTACCTGACCAGCTATGAAAATGGAGTTTAAACATTTTATTGCGCATACTCCTTTTACGGGAATTTGAGCTTTAAAAGAAAACAAGCATCCAGCTTGCTGCTTCTGCTTTTGGGGTAACTGAGGTAACAAAACTGTATGGCTTTATTTTCCATCCCCCAACTAGAAAAGTAAGAGCTTCCAGCCGGGTGGAAGCAGCTGGGTTCCTGCCATCACCTTCACAGATTACTGGTGTTCTGCAGACAGAGTTCAAAAAAGAATTTCAAGTACCAGTTTCAAAATGCTGATTAGTATCGTCCAAAGCACGGATTCCTCCTCCTGAGACGCACCTTCGGGGTCGTAGGTGTGCGTGTGACTCGCCTCCGCGTCGTCCGAGTAAGCGGAGTCCCCGAGCGGGTGCCGCCGGACCGTCCGGTCTAAATACACCTTCATCTCGAACTCGCTGTCCTGGTGTGACGGGTGCCCGTACACCCCGATCCCCACCGGGCGCTGGAAGTGCGCGGGGATGGAGACCACGTCCCGGCCGCAGGTGACAGACTGCAGCTCGTAGTCGTCGAAGTTGGGGTGCAGGGTGCTGTCGGACACGTACAGGTCGGCGTCGCCCCGCAGGCTGCGCATGGCCAGCACGATCCTGCCCTCGTGGTTGAGCCGCAGGTAGCTGTAATTCCCGGCGCCCACCTGCCCCTGGACCACGTGCAGGAGCAGCCACTCGGCCGGCACCTCCTCCTCCTCCGCGGCGCGCGCCCGGGACGCGGCCT